AAGAGCGATTATGAGATATATATGTAAAAACTAAAATTAACTCACAGATGCACCTTTTAACATAAAGGCAAGCTTAGCTTTAGAACTCCAAAATTAAGCGTGGTCAGATGGGAGCACTCCCAGGATGGGTGACCTCCCAGGAAAGTGCTTACTTATATGTCAAGGGACAAAACCGTGAGACTCAGTAGGGGACGAGCTAAAGCGGGCAATACCTCAATGAGTTAATATAGGGATATCACAATATGGTATTATAGTGGGACCCCCTCCAGTAGGTGTGTGGTTCAGGGGTGAACCATGAGGAAACTGGTGGACCTGTAACGACTCGGTCCGATGAGAGCAGGGAGTGGTTACCAAGGACAGAGGGCCTAGATAAAGAGCGGCTCCTGACAGGCTTATAGGGTGGTGAAGGGGTAAGAAAAAATCGAACTGTGCATCGAACATTGGGGAAAGTGATTTTGGGATGTGTGTGTGTGCGCGTGTGGGTGTACGTGTATATGTGCGTGTGTCTATGTATGTATGTGAAAATCGAAATTAACTCACGTAAGCGCCTTTTGACGTAACGACGGTGCTTAGTTTTGGAACTCCAAAGTTAAGCATGCTCAGGTGGGAGCACTCTTAGGATAGGTGACCCCTTGAAAAGGTGCTTACCTGTATGCCAAAGGACAAAACCGTGAAGGTGGATATGGAATAGGCCAAAGCGGACAATACCCCATTGAGTTAATTTAGGGATATCACAATATGATATCAGAGCAAGACTCCTTCCAGTGGGTGTGTGGTTCGGGGACGAACCACGCGGAAGCTGGTGGGCCTATAATGACTTGATCCAATGAAGGTAGGGAGTGGTTACCAGAGCTAGAGAGTCTGGATAAGGAGCAGCTCCTAACAGGCTTCTAGGATGGCAAAGAGGGCAGGAATGAATCGAATTGTGCACCGAACAAGGGGAGAGCGATTCTAATATATATATATATATATATATATATATATATATATATATATATAAACTAGAATTAACTCACAGATGCACTTTTTGACGTAACGGCAATGCTTAGCTTTGGAACTCCAAAGTTAAGCATGCTCAAGTGGGAGCACTCCTAAGATGGGTGATCTCCTAAAAAGGTTCTCACCTATACTAGGGGCAAACATGGTTCCAAGGTAGTTAGAAATTCATCTTCAAAAGAGAAAATAGAGACGATACTTACTTAAAGAGCATGGAATGTCTACGTATATAATTATAAGTAGGTTTGAATTGTTTAAACACAGCATTTAGTTCGTGTCCATATATAATCGTAATTATAAAAATGACTTGGTACAATAGCCCTTGGTTTTTCTTTTGGTTGACTAAATCGATGAGAAGCTTTCATTTTTATTGGTGCGTTCATTTTCATTTTGCTTAACTAAAATGAAACATAAAAAAGAACCATGTTAGACCCTCGAACTTGCGACATGATAGGTTCCAAGTTCCGACCGCTAGATTTCAAGTTCCAAAAAATGAGGAATTGTACTCGCGAGTAGGTTCTAGGTGAAATATGGAATCGCTCGTCCCTAACCTATATGCCAAAGGACAAAATCGTGAAGGTCGGTATGGGACGGGTTAAAACAGACAATACCTCAGTGAATTAATCTAGGGATGTCATAATTGGTTTGACGGCAAGAACTTTGGTTTCTGGAATATGCATAAACCAAAGTCCTTGCCATTTAGAGTTCCTATATATTTTGACTGCAAATATCAAGATGTGTCAATACCTTAAGCAGCGATAGTTTTTACTAAGTGTAGTTATGTTGTATGGATCGACGTAGGGATATCGGGGTGGATCCCTCATCAATTTGTTGCCTCGAACTTCAACATTGACAAGGAGTTGGTTGGAGCACTTAGGGATTTCGATGGTCCCCCTGGTCTTGACGGCAATTATGACGTGTCGATAGGCGTGGTTGCCGATCCTTGGTTTAGTAACATCACTTTATGTAGGCAAGTTTTTGGGTGCCAGAGTATGGGGTATTATTGATCAAGACCCGACTTTCTTCCCAGATTTAATACGTTGTACTATTTTTTCTTTTTGTACTTGTAATAATACTTGGAATAAGAAAGATAAAACTAGAACGTAGTTGTCAAACTCAAGTTTTTCATGCAATGCGTTTATTGTGCTTCCGCATTCTTAATAATAATAAATAGTTTTAATAAAAGTTCTCTTAGACGTGCTAGGGCATCATGGTGCTTGTACTTGATTCTCTAGAAGGTTGAGAACTTGAGCCATGTTGCTGGAGACTTTCTATGGCACGGTCTTGTCTTCCATCGTGGGCTTGTTCCAAAGTCAAGCCTCTGGAACCAGATCACTCATCTTTTAGCATGGTTTGCCCCAATTTAAAACCCTGATTGAGCCAAATCGACCAAATCCCCTCTTCTTCAACCATAATTCAAAACTTGGCAATTTGGGCCAAAATTTTGAGGTGAATCTCGCAATGGAGAATAGGAGCATTAAAAAGCGGCTCAATTTCGTGTTTCAAGAATGGATGAGTGAAGGCTTGGGCGAGAACAGCGACCTCTTGAAGAGTGCAAACAAAAGCTTAAAAAACAGGGCCTCTTGGCTCCTGTTCTCTAGCACTGGCTCTAGGCAAAACTGGAGCTTTTACAGCTGTTGTTGGAATACGAGGTAAATGTCCGGGGCCTCTAGGAAGGAACGAGCTAGGGCTTGAACGAGAAGCGTGAATTCTTTAGCAATGAAGACGGTGAGGTGAAAGACAGAGCCTCTCGATCACAGCTCTCCATGGACAACAAAATGGTTGTCGATTGTCTTGGAGGCCCACCAAAGGTAGCGTCGGAGCTGAAAAAGGGATGAGTGGTGAGAACGGGTGTTACGGCTGTGATGCACGAAAGGACATGAAGTCGAGCCAGGGAAAACTGGAGGAGATGAAGATGGTGGCGACAGGGAAGATGGATGGGTCAATTAGAAAGTGGCCGAAATTTCCAAGTTGGCTTTTCTTTTTCATCAAAAAGCCACATAATTATACATAATTAATTAAAAAAAAGTCACGTTGGAATAAAGATCTAATTAAAAAAAGTCACTTGAAACTTTTAGCCTGAATTTTCCGTCGAAGATACTTAAGTGATTATTTTTTGTCCGATTTAGCTTTTAAAAGATATAACAAAAAATTTTGACACTTAAATGTGCGCCGAATAAAGTTATAGCACTTGTAATATCATTTCCACTTTCGAAGAAAGCCCATCGAATCCATGAACTAATGGAGACGAAAACTCTAAACCAGCCCCAACATTATTGGTCATAATGTGGATTGACCTACTGTTTGGGATAGGAACGAAGGGAGGGAGTGGGACCCCGAATAGGACATATTGAGGGGACCATCATTGATTCAAATTGCGAGAAGGTTGACAACTTCCGAAGGCAACAAAACAAAGGAAAGCAGACAACGTCGAAGACAAAGTAAGTGTGGCCAATGGGGTTGTCCCAAGGGCCAAGAACCAAGAAGTGGTCCACCATCATCTCCCACCGCACTTTTTGACTTTTGCCTCCCCTATGCTTCCCCACTAAGCATGTGTGGACTTCTCGACCCTTTGAAACATACCATTTTCCCTCAAAGGTGATTAAGCACCGCTCATGTCAATGCATAAAACCATGTGGATTCATCAACAATAGTGCCAAAAATTGAACGGTTGACAAAATTAATGCATAGCGTGATATGGGGAACGGTGAATTCTAGGTCAGACAAAAAGATAAGTAGTTGAATTCTAACGTATGAACATGACTCACTTATTTAAAATCTCACTCATTTTTTTTCACGTGATTTTTTAAATTAATTTTATAAAACAATCTTTATATATTTAGCATTGCTTTTTTTTTTGTGAAGTAATTCGCATGCGAATGTTTTCAAAGACACTAGCTACTCACGTTTAACAATTGTTATCAATATAGCCGTCAATGTAAAATGATATATATCTATTTAATGTTGAATGAGTGACGTGTGTGCTTGGAGTTAATTTTGTGATTGAATATGTTCACATGCAACTCATCTAAATGGCGAATGTGTGAATACTTCTTTCGCAAGTTGTTCTTTTTAACCATTTTCTTTTCGTTTGCTCACTCGACGAGCGCGCCAAAATACTCGTCAACGAAATTATTGAGCAGACAAGCTTAATCAATCGCTTTATTTGACTAAACCACCAAATGGGTTTTTAGATGTTAGCTTGTCAATTATTTTAACATCACAACAATTCATTCAACACCTTCCTACCTTAAAGAAAAACAACAAGCATTCTCTCTCGTCAACGAAATTATTGCGCAAACATCCTTAATCAATCAATTTACTTGACTAGCCCACAAAGCATGTCGTAGAGGTTAACTTGTCAATTGTTTTCACATCACAACAATTCATTCAACACCTTCCCCACCATCCAAACCAGGCGCACACACACACTCTCTCTCTCTCTCTCTCTCTAATTGTCATTTAATCAAATAATAAATGCAAGGAAGTGGCCGTCCCCAACAGCCAACCTCTTTTCGCACTTTGGTCAACCGTCCCTAACACGACACCACGATGCGAGCGTCGGCTGCTTTCTTTCCCATTGTTTGACTCGGTCCCTTTTCGTGTCTTTTAATGCCCACTCTTTTCTCACTGCCCGGGTGGTCTTAGTGGGGACCAAAACAGCTTTGAGTGACGCAGAAAGAAACAAAGAAGAGCACGAAGCAAAAGCCCCCAAGCAGGGCATCCAAGGACAAGAACCAAAAGAAATAAAGCTTACCCTTTTGCATAATATTAACTTGATAAATTCAGAGAAAAAGTATGAAAATAAGAAGAAAAAGAAAAGTGGAAGTACGATGAATCATGAGAAAGAAAGAAAGAAAGAAAGAACGACCCCCACCTTTTTCTTTAATTTGCAATTTGAGAAACGTTTTACCAGATCCACCATCTTCCTTTTTCAAATGCTCATCATCATCATCATCATCATCATCATCAGTCGTTACACATTGCAAGTCGTTACACATTGCTTAAGGCTCAAGAGAAATGACTTCAGTTCAGACATTGTACAATGAAATTGAAGGATTTGCACTAATTTGACTAACGTAACCAACCCACAAGTCTCTCCTTCGAGATTTTATGACCCTCTTTTTCTTTTCATGGGTTCCATTTTCTTTTCCACTCAAATTTTCGATGGATTAAGATGGTTCACTAAACTAAACCCCCAAAGGGACGATATTCCGATGCGATAATTTCATCTTCGAATGACCGCATCTCCTCCTCATAGCAATATTAGGTGGTCACGTCCGTCTTGCGAGTTGGGAGGGGACGGGAAAGAAAGACGGTGCACATCAGCTGTACTCTATATATATTAGCCCGGGTTCCAATCGACTTGATTAGGGCTCGTTGTTTAGAATGCTTTCTCACAACATGCCACCTTCCTTTGAAGAATTAGATTTCAAGATGACTCGAGGATGAGGCTGGTCGAATCGGCCACGGAGAGAGAGTGGTTGTGCTCTCCCTCATAGGTGACGATGAGCATCGCCGGGTCGTCCAACGCTCTCTCAACATGCTTCCTCGCCGGGCATCCTCTGACGCTACTGCACTTGTAGTAACCCCTGTTGCAAGGAAGAGAAGAAAAAGGAAACTGCAAATGAGAAACCGATCTACTGAGATAGTTAACTCATTATCTCGACTCAGTGACGAGAGAACGGCAATGTTTCCTACAGGATTTTGTTAGCGAGTGCCTAAGAGTAAGCGTGAAGAGACGATTAAGGAAAGTAAAGCTAACACGAGACAAGGAAAAGGGGCCTTACGTGAGCTTATTGAATGTAACGAGAGCATTTAAATACCCAAAAGGAATAATTCATCAACAGATGAATTCGTAAATAACCTCTTAAAATTCGCAAGATTATTGTTTTAGGGGGATAAAAAAAAAGAGAAGATAAGGAGGGACAAAATTGAGTACCTAGGATGAGGAGAGCCTTTGATGGGCTTCTGACCGTACTTCCTCCAAGAGTACTCGTCCGGCGGAATGTCGGCCATCTTCAGGCTGATCGCCGGGACTCTCACCACCCTCTTCAATCTCAATTTCCTGCTCATCCACATGCGAGAAACATTCATCAATACTATGCTTTTCATTTTTGTTTTTTTCATAGAAATTAAGACTATGCATCAATTCTTATCCACAATCCCACCAAATAGAATCCTTCCAAAGCTAGCTACAAACATCCGAAATTGTGAAATTTCAAGTATTATGTTCATTTTTGTGAACTAGTGATCGAGAGCAGCTCAGATGTTCGAATCACGGCATTTCGGCCTTAAAAACAGCATCCACAACGCCGCGACACATAGAGAGCCTTGTCCGATGCACGTGGTGAGGAAATTTCATATAGATAATCTAATTGAAAGTCCGTTAATATCGTAGAACTAAAAAGAGAAATAAAAGAACTCAACAGTAAACAAGAAAGATAAATCAGCTATCAGGGCTAATGTATGGACACAATTTCACTGTTGTGTGGTTGAAATTCGGGTAATGGCCATCTATTCTTAATTACCTCTTCTTGGAGCAATGACACCGGCCGGAGGACGACGCGCACTTGCCGGAGCCCAAGGTCTCGGAGCTGCACTTCCTCTTCAGCGACGACGACGACGACAGCGGCGGCTTCCCGCTCACGGAGGAGCTCGTGATTTGGAAAGTCGACGAGGAGGAGCACTGTTGCTGCTTCATGACAACGTGACGCTCATTCACATTGTTGTAGCTAACGTTGCTGTTAATATTTTCGGCAGTCAGCGACGACCCGAACGGGTTGCTAGCGTCCGAGGGGGCGTACGAGAAGCTGATCGTCGTGGACGAGTCCCTCCTCTCGCCGATCACCCCGTTGCTCTTCGAGATCACGGCCGAGCCGCCATAGTGGCCGTGAGGGAGCGCCGGCCCGGGAGCCGGCGCCGGGGACGGCGGGATCTGCTGGATCGGGGTGGCGTAGTAAATCTTGTGCTGGGGGTGGTGGTGCTGGTTGGACGATTTCTCCGGGGCGGGTTGGACCGGGGCCCTGCGGAACCGGGCGTGGCCGGTGCGGGTGCGGCCGAGGAGGGAGATGACCTTCTTGAACTTGGAGACGGCGTCGTCGGCGACGGCCCGGCAGTCTCGCTCCAGGTCCAACGGCGGGGGGTCGAGGGCCTCTTGCGCGGGCGCGTGTCGTTTCTGAGAGTGAGAGAGGAGCTTGATGAGCTTGCCGACGCTCTCGAGGCCAGAGGCGGCCTCCTTCACCGCGGTCTCCTCCATCATGGTTGAGAAGGTCGTGTCGTTCCGGTAACCCAGCATGAGCTCCACGGCCATGGCAGCAACACCATGAAAACAAGGACGGCACAAAGAGAGAGAGAGAGAGTGAGAGCGAGAGAGAGAAGTAAAAGGGAATGGAGGGGAGGGAAGTTGTTGATAAATAGAGAGAGAAGGAGAGGGAGAGTATTGGTGAAGTGTAAGTGTGGCTCCAATCCTCGCCGTACAGAAATGTAGGTAAGAATGTAAAACCCAAACCAACCCAACAATTTACTTTTAGCCTTCCCATTTGTGCTATGTTTGGAACTTGGAAGCACGTGTGGAATAGACTTTGGAGAGAAAAATGCCCCAAAAATTCAAAACCAAAATTTTTCCTTCATTTCCTCCTCATGAAAGTTTCAAAATCGAGCTCATTTGTTTTCAATTTTATCGATAGTATATAATGATTATCCCTGTAATTATTATGTTTCATTATCTACCTTTTGGCCATGTGTCAAGTTGTATATATACTTAGTGTCGACATGAATGTCACATTCAAGTCGTCACTGGATCATTTGTTACATGAAAATGCTTAACTATCACCATGACCGAGTAAATTGTCAAAAAGTATAGAAATAAATTCCTTAAACTTATGACATAATTATGAAAACAACTTAAAGCACAGGGTTCAATGGGTAATAAAATCTATCGCATTTCAAGTAACGTAAAGTTCTCCCATAATTTGAGTTTTATCGAGGAGCTTTTTGTAATTCAATGCGGTAGCTTTTCCATCAGAGTTAGCTTTTTTTTTGTGTATTGTTCATAAGAACATTTTTCTCAATATTTCATACAAAAAATTATTGCATTAGACGATCAGTATTAATTCCTTAAAAGAGAGAGAGAATACACGATCCACACCACGTACCGTTAGTATGCATGCAAGCAAACTTATCTAGCATTGTTAATTCTCTTAAGTTAATTTGTCTTTTTAATTCAGGAATCGAGAGATCTCACCGTGAATTCTTTTATGACAACTCCCAGAATTACGGATTAGTGTGACTTTTGTATATACTCCGACAAAGGGTCATTAAAATCAATAAGGACTACATAATTGTCGATCGACTTGAGGATATATATGTGTGTGTGTGTGTTAATTACAGTTGGGAAATAGGATGATATGTTTTTCTATGGAAGAAAACGAAGGGAATTCAGAAGGCTTTGGCTACACGTGAGGACATTGACCCGATCAGGAAGGTGGGGCCCATGCCGGAGGGGAAAACTTGGTCGAAAGAAGGTGGGGACATCGAGAGGGGCGGGCGATCAAGTCAAACCACTGTCCTGGAGCCGTCCGATTCTTTGACTCAGAAGCCTGCCTAGTGCCTACAACGATAATCCGGTTGGTTGGTGCCAGCGTGATTGAGTTGACTTTTCAGTCACTTCTACTTTTCTAATGAAAATAATGATGATGATGATAATGATAAATATATTAATAGTGATTGTTGTTTCTTCACGTCTCTAGTCTATGAGCGCCGATGTTAGGTCGACAACAGATGAGATTACAAACGAATGAGGACATGTGGGAGTAGGGAGGGAGCAAGAGCGAGCTCGAGAGCTTGACTTGTTTTCTACTTTTTTTTTTATGGCTAAAGTTGGAATCGTTCAATTCAAAGTTAATTATAGTACTAATTCTACTTAATCCTATTCGCTCGAATCTAGTGGTTTCTAACCTAATCGAGGGGTTCGTGTCATTTGTTTTTTTTTACTCACGCCTTTAGCTCAATGTAGCGTGATAATGACCCCGTATCAACATTAGGGTGCTTGTAATTATCAAATCAATACCGCGTTATAAGATCCCGTATGAAAGGGCGATCCAAGGTTCGTCGATCGAAGAGAAGCATTGATATAGGTTGTTCAATTTTAAAATGATTAGTCGCCTTGGTGGGGTGAATAGGATTTTCTACTTGGAATTTGAAATCACTAGGCATAAAATTTTAAGGAATGGCAATAAGAAAGTAATTTATCGAGGTCATGTTCGTTTACTAGGAACGAGAAGAGTAGAATGGGAACGAGACTTCATTCTTATTGATAAGGGTTAATATCACGAAAATCGCAAACTGGTATACCTGTAACAATTTTACCCAAAACTAATTTTTTAACCACCAAAAACCCCAAATTGGTACATTTGTGACAAATTTACCCCGAACTATTTTTTGACCACAAAAAATCCCAAACTGATACATTTGTGACAATTTTACCCTCCGTTAGTGTCCGTTAAATTTGATTAATATCACGAAAATCACAAATTGATAAACTCGTGATAAACAGAGGGGTAAAACCCCAAACTGGTATACCCGTCAACTATCACGTGTTATCAAACTTAACAATTTGACAGTAAAATTTAACAGAAACTAACGGGGGATAAATTTATCACAGGTGTACCAGTTTAAGGTTTTTGGTGGTCAAAAAATTAGGTCGGGGTAAAATTGTTACAGGTGTAGCAGTTTAGGGTTTTTAATGGTCAAAAAAATAATTCGGAATAAAATTGTTATAGATGTACCAGTTTAAAGTTTTTGGTGGTATTAACCCTATTGATAATAATGTTTGGTAACTCGAGATAAAAAGGAATGGAAATAGATGGTGGGAACGAAAAACGCTCCATTACTATGTTTCGATTTATGTGAGGAGAGGTGGGTATGAATATAAAAAAAATGTGTATGATTCAACATAGAAGAAAAATCAATGGAGGAATATTTATGACAATAAAACAATTTAATATAAATATCGCATAATATCTATCTCATTCCTCTCTTTGGCAACTTTTAAAATTAATTCATATTAGGGAAAGTGGCGCAAATAATCCCTGAACTTTAATCCAATGTGCAATATGGTCGCTAAACTTTTAATTTGTTCAATTTAGTCCCTGAATTTTAACTTAATGTGAAATATAGTCCATGAACTTTTGATACATACTCAATTTAATCGTTGAACTTTTGGTATATATTCAATTTAATCCCTGAACTTGAATTAATGGAATGACTATGTTGAACATTTCCATATAGTTCAGGGACTATATTGAACATGTACCAAAATTTCGGGGATCACATTTAACAAATTAAAAGTTCAGGGACCATATTGAACATTATGCTAAAGTTCAGAGACTACATCGAACAAATTAAAAGTTCAGGGGCCACATTGCACATCGACCAAAATTCAGGGACTGTTTGTGTAATTATCTATTTTTATTAATCTGTGTCGTTATGGCTAACTTTAATCATGTTTCAAATTATAAAAACCTCACATATTCCTATTCGAAAATCATGACTGAACGAGGGGAATGTGCGACAACCGTTGACAATGTGAATGAGAAGTGAGAACACAAAATTTTGCTTCCACAAAATGCAATTCCTCTCATCGAAGGATCGAAGGTGGATTTACATATAATGCAAATGGGACCACATTGTCACCAAGGGAATATCCTTTCCCAATCGGAGGATGCAGAAGCGCCAACGTTGGGTGAGACAGTCAAGATCCGAGAGGTTGGAACGAACAAATCTGCACCTGAGAAAGTCCTTAGTTCTTCAAGATGGGGTTGGACCAATTCACATTTGGTGTAGAATTTATTATCTTCTTTTGGACATTAGTGTTGAATTCATTGATTCTTTGTCTTCTCGAAGCACGCTACCATCTGTTTCTCTACGATGGGAATGAAAATGGGGCGGTTTTGGAGGTCCTTGCTCGTGACGGACTTTCTAAATGAAAATCCCAAATCCCGCCTAATTAAGCATGCGCAAATACCTACCCGAGGATTGAGCCATTGACTGGGGCATGTTCCCATGCTTTCGGGTTGGGAACTAGTGGCTGTGGGTTTGATTCCTGCCTTGGAAATTCAGAGTTAAGGAAAGTCATGACGGTGGATTGTTGTGCTAGTTCTTTTTTAGATAATCGGCTGAATACAACCGTGCCCCTGAATTATCCAAAAGAAGAAAATATGCGTGAACCCAAAATTTGCATCACTGTAATTTTTGTCTACATATTTATAAAAAACAATTATCTTAGCACAACGATGAATGTTATGATTACCAAACTAGTTATTCTTGCCGCATGGGATGGATGGAATCGCTTAGACACTGTGTTCAAAAGAGTTAAGGGCGTTTCAATAACACATGCCAAATTTCCACCGACAAATCTAAAGTGGGATCGCCATTCCATTTCCCAATAACAACTTGATTTGAGTTTGGACAGGAGTTCAAATTCCCTGCCTGTGGAGTTTCTTTTCCTAATACTGCACTAAGTTTTTCGACACGTAGGAGCACATTCAAGCTCAGCTTTACAATCCATTTCATTTTAAATAATTACCGAAAAAGTCTTAAACGTATTATATTTGTACCGATTCAATCATAAAAGCTTTTGACAATTTGTCAATACAATCATTCCGGTCAATTTTGACTGAAAATCGCTGACCTGGACACCGGCCACCTTACATGACAATTTTTATAATCTTTTAAAGAAAATTCTGAATTTTTTAATTATTTGTTTCGTTTTCTTTTTTTCTATTTTAAGCTTGGCGAGGGCAACCCTCGCCTACTACCGGTGAGGACTTTGCAGCCTTGGCGACCTACCTGGCCTTGCCAGCATTCACGTCAGTAATTTCTAGCTAAAATTGGCCCAAAAGACTCAATTGACAAATTGTCTAAATGTTTATGACTAAATTGGCCAAATTGAAAGGTTTAGAATTGGATTGTTATAAATGCAATAGGCTTAGAACTTTTTTTGTAATTTTTTCTGTTTTATATATAATATACAAAAAAAAAAATGTGCTGCATTCCAATGAACTCTTTTAATCTTTTTTTTTTTTGGTACGCTTTGACACTGTAATTAATCCGCATTAACATGATATTACTGTTGACACGGGGCCTTTAAATGTATTTAGACATCTTTATTTACTTTTAAACACATTTTACATGTCCATGCATGAGAGCTATTTTTTTTATTAAATTTTTCTCCTTGAATTTCAAATTCATGAAAAGATTAGGAAACATATAATATTCAGCTTGACTCTAAAATAAAATGACTATGCCACGATTTCATTTTGATATGGAATTATAATTTCCCGACTCTCGAAGGAAACTTGTCTCGTTCCTAGATCGGATTTAGTTAAT